AGTAGCGGGTGTTGGAGCGGACCCGCTCCATCACCTGAGAGACCTGAGTCTCGGAAACTGCATGGATACCAGCCCCGAGGTCGACGAGAAGGGATTCTTTGCCCCGGAGCCCTCCTGGGTTGGAGGTGGAGATATGAAAGGTGGAGACAGGGCCAGGATTGGCCGCTTCTCCGATTCGCAGGCCACGATACCCAATGCGGTGTGCGATTGGAGTTGTGGATTATTGGCCGCCAGATTTGCCAGTGGCCGACCCCCGACTCAATAACACAGTCAGTCACCAGACTGATGACCGCTGTGCTGACATAGTAGAGCTGAGCAAGGGGGGAGGCCGTAGGCAGTAGAAAGGCAGGCCAAAGGTGGGGCACGAAATGCCGAAAAAGCCATGGGACCCGGTGTCTGGTACACCGGGGTGGGGACCCTGGGCTTAGCCGAAGGCGTTGCCCAGGGTGGTTGAGTTGTCAAGCCTCCGTCTTGTGGCGCTTCGCGGGAAGCGCCTCAAGTTTATCGAAGCGGGCTGTGAATTCGCCCCCAAATTCGGTGCGGAAGTTGCCCATGGTAGAGAGCATTGAGTTGGTGAGCTGCTCTTGGTTGGTGTGGAGAGTATCCCCGAGCTGGCGGATCTCTTCCTGCTGGTGTGTGATGGCTGTCTGGAATTGCTTCATGCGGTTGTCGGTCGTGACGGCCTGCTGCTTGACGTCCTCGAACCATTTACCGAACTTGTGGTTCTGACTTTTGATCTCGGCGACGTTGGTCTCGAGGGCGATGAGACGCTTGTCGTGTTGGTCTTGCAGGGTCGTGGATGCCGCCTGGTCTTTTGAGGAGGTGGATTGTTGAATCTGTGCAATCTGCTTCTGCACGTTGGAGGTGACTTCGGCCTTGAGCTGTTCGCCAAGTTGGTCGATCCGTTTGCCCCCGCCGGAGCTGAGGCTAGCTCCTGGTTGGAGCTTGTGAGCAGCGCCCCATGGATCGTGTGATGAGGCACTGGTGCCGAGGTGCTCTTTCCGGATGTGCTGCTGAGTTTTGCGGGAAGCAATGAGGGGTTGGGCTTCGGAGGCCCGGTGAAGCTGTTTAACCTCGGTGACCAGGATGTCTTGGTCGAAACCGTGGAGAACCAGGGAAGGTGGCTCATCGTTGGCTCCGATTGTCCAGGACATGGCTTCTTTGCTGCTCCGGCTGCGTGCCATGTGGGACCGGGAAGAGGTTGTAGATGCGCTGGATGTGCACGCTGACAAATGGGACGCCGGGACGGAGGGTGGTAAAAGCAGGTTCCTCGTCCTTGGATTGGACCCGGATGCCGTACCTGTTCTTCATGCGCATAAGGTATATGGAACGGTTGAATGCGCGAGCTGCGTGGAGTGCCTGCGCATGGTTTGCGCCTGGTAGCCAGATGACCTTGAAGCCTGGGTCTGGCCCTTTGTTGGTGTTGGCCCGGGGTTCGATGAATACGCCTGTGATCCCTGCGTTGAGGATATTGTTCAGTGCGAACAGTGGGATGCGAAGGAAGACGGTGAAGATGTCGGCTTCCGAGTCGGTTGCCTTATGGCCCTCTGTGTTGGTGAAGGCACGCGCCCACAGTTCCAAGATGACCTGGTCGACGGTCTCATCGATTGGGTTGTGGGTCATAGGGCATTCCGTGCCGCATCCTTGAGCGTGGCAGAGTCGAAGCAGTGGGAGAAGTTGCAGAAGTTCCCTGATCGGGGCTCGACAAAATCTGGCCCATTCCAGTTGAAGGAGGTCGCGAAAGATTTGGACTTTGAGGACACTGTTCGCGGTGATGGTGAGCTTCGGAGTGATCTGCGCCGGTGCCCGGGTAGTCTCGATGTCTCCCAGTTGAATGAGCCCTCCGTGAATGAGGATTGGCTCGTTTGTTCCGCTGTATTTGGCTGGGAAGCTGAGCTTGGTGATGGTCCGGCTGATCATTGCCTCTTCATGTGGGAGGTCGGTGAGGAGGAGCGCCAGGGCGTCTGTGCTGAGTTGGTTGTTGTCCATGAGGAAGGGAGACGCTAGTGCAGAGCTGCAGATGGCGATGCCTCTCCCGTCAGCGTTGACTGCTGAGAATGGTATCTGGGGAACTATGACAAGGTTCTTGTCGATGAAAGCCCCAGGGAAGAGCTCAAGAGAGTCTGGGTTGACCTGGAGTGGTACATGGGTGGTGGTGATAGACTTCTTGAAAGATTTCTTCTGCTTGTGATTCCCAAGCTTGGCGCCAAAATTGGTGGTGGCCTGTTGTCGGACGTGCTGGGAAAGCTCGTCGGCGTGTACAAGCCGAATCATCTTTGTCGGCTTGCTGGCAATTGCTTTGAGTTGTGCCCAAGGTGTTTTCGAGTCCAGTGCTTTGGTGACTGGTTGGACTCCGAGCTTGTCTATTACGAGCTGTGCGCGTTCTGTGTTGACTTCTGCAGGAACGCCTTTCTCGTGCAGGAGAGTTGCTAACCGCTGGAGGGGCTCAGAGTGGGGCCCAAATGCGGTGAAATGTGCTGGCCATTGTTGCTGGGCCTGTTCCTGCACAAGCAGGTGGTGGAGCCGGTGGATGTTGGTGTTGCCTGGGTGGAGGTGTGGGTTGAGGAAGTCCCACAGGTGTGCTATGGCGATAGTCCCGCAGTTGTCAGTGGCTTGTTGTTCGTAGTGTTGCCGGGCGAGAAGGCCGGCGTAGCAAATGCCGAAGATGTCAGAAATGCGACTAGCAAGCTGCCCGGCAGCGGCAGTGATGTGTGACTGGATGCCGTCAAAGTATTCCCACTGGATGTGTTGATCGGAATGGTCCCGCCAAGAAATGCCCAGTGGGAGTGTGCCTCAAAAATGCAGATGACTTTGGTGCCGGCTGGAGGCATTGGGATGTGCTGGACCTGGTTCTCAGCCAGAATCGTGTGAGCGCCGAGTGGTGAGATGCCCGCGATGGTGGTGGTTGTGAAAGCTGAGGCAATCTGTTGCATGGATTTCCAAATGGTGCCGTCGTGGAGCCCTTGTCCGGCCCCGGTGTTGCCAAAGGCTGTGATGCGGTTGGGGGAGTCGTTGCAACAGACGGTTGTGCAGATCCAAACCTTTGTGTCTGCTCCAATGATGTGGCCGAACTCATCCGTGACGAAGTTGACCTCGAGCATGCCATGCAGGCGGACTGCCTCGAAGAGGAAACAACCGGGCTGGTGTTGTGATTCAAATACCCCGGCAGGGGACAGAATCCTGATTGTGATAGGAGTAGTAGGAGGTTCAGTCCGTTGTCGCTTCGGCTGTCGGTGGATGTGGAAGGCATCTTGCGGCCCGTCGTCAGGGGTTTGCTCCTGGGAGTGCATGGGCGTGAGAGTACCCTTGCTGCCCCATTCGTCGTTGATGCGTTCAGCCTGGAGCAGTTGTTTGATGTCGAACCGATTCTGCACTGGGATCTGGATTCGACCATCAACTGTGAAAAGGTTGATGCGGGCAAGGATCCCATGGTAGTCGCCGTGGCACTGCTTGATGATCTCCTGCTTGTAGTAGAGCTGAATGAGGTTGTCGGGCAAGCATTGTGGGATGCCGGTGGTGAAGTGGGCAAAGTTATACCACAGCGTGCCGTACATCCAGATCATTTGGAGCGGTGAGGCAATGAGCCCCAGGAGGCAGAGGTCTTTCTTCATGTCGCCGGACGATCTGGTTTTGGCAGGAACTCCGAGAAGAAGGCCGGCTTCTTTTGGATGAAGATACCTGGCGGTGTCCGTGTCTTTGGAGAAGACAAAGAAGCCCCGAAGCCCACGAAGCTGGAGGGAGTGTTCGCTGAAGCCGATCGCGCGGCATCCGCATGGGCATTCCTGCATGGCGTTGCCGTATGAGTGCAGGATGGTTGCTGCAGTGTCGTTCCCGGTGAGTATCCGTCGGTCGGATCCATAGGTCTCGCCCTGGTACTTCTCGAGTTCGGAGGTGGTAAGCCAAAGCTGCTGATCCTCATCCTCGGGCCAGCGTTTCCATCCGGGGATGATGTCCTTGACATGCTTGTGCTGGTCCGTGGCGGGCCATGGCCGGAGACCGACTGTATTCCATTGGCGCGGAATCAGCAACATCTGCGTCGATGGCAGGGCCATTGATGGGCCAGTTCTAGGTTGGTGGTGAGGATGTCCCAGTTCATGGCCGATGCGAGCTGCTGCAGCTGGCACGCACTCCAAAACTGCGGCCTGACATTGCATCATCCAGATGGTGTGCAATCCTCCGTAGAAAACTCGAGTGCGCCGGTCGAGCATCCCGGATCTTGCTCCCTGTGATGACCAGGGCTGACAGGGGAATCCTAATGTGGCTGTGAAGGTCCGTCCATCACCTGCTTTGTGGATAATGGGCGTTGATGCAGGAGTCGTGATGTCGAGCTGCAACACGGTGCCATGTCCGTTCCTGCGAAGGTGTTCAACCGAGGCGGTGTTCACATCGACGCTGAGGCCGAGTTGTCCGCCGAGAAACGAGGCTCCGGTGCCCATGCCCCCGAAGCCTGCGCACAGTTCCAGCAACCAGGCCGAGTGGAAAGAAGGGTCCGTTGGGGCCGGGGTCCACCAAGAGAGTTCGTCGAGCAGGAGCAGCGGCGAAGGCTGCACTGTCTGTACCGCAGCGTCGTAGATGGAAACCACGCACTGAGGCAAAACTGCACCACAAATTGTAACCGACACCCTGTCGTGAAGGCGAATTGCGGTGTGATGGCCTCTGCTGCTGCCAGTGATCCGAAAAACTCCCCGGCAGCGCTCCCCCAGTTCGATGGGGTTCCCAAAGATTCTGGTGTCCATGGCTCTTGTGACGAGGTTTCGGGTGTCTGCTGTCACTAGTTCACCGCTGGTAGGTCCCGAGCCAAAACTTGGAAAATGCACATTTAAAACTGTGGACTCTAGGAAGCTCTGCACCATTTCTGCTTGCAACTGCTCAACAAGTGCTTGCGCAACTATGCAAATAAGCCTTTTGCACCTCCTGCACACCAACCAGGACCCATGAACCGCTCCTTTCCATGGTCTGCATGCGCACGTGGGGCTTCGACTCCGCCATGGCCAAGCTGCGATTCGCAGCACGGCGGTGGACTCGTTGAAGTTGAAGGCCTCCCCCACGACTGACACGATGTAGTCGTCCTCGTGGCCTTCCGGGGGCCAATCCTAACCTTCGACAGCTTCCCGAGAGACTTACACCTATAGTGGTTGATTGCGCCAGAAAAGGGGAAGGCTTGAAATGGTTTGAGCAAGCCTGGTTTGCTCAAAAATCGAAAGTCCTGGCGCCAGCCGGCAGCATTTCTTGCTGGACCAAAGGGGGCCAAGCCAAATCGGACAAAAGCCGAGGAACACATTCGTTGCCTGCCACGTTTCATTGGGCCAAGTGGGGAAGGGATGAAGCGAAGTCATGCCCACGCGAGACTCGTGAGGGGCAAGGACATATGGCGTCTCTTTTTCTGCGGGTACCCTCTTGTGGCAATTTTGCAGGAAACCAAAAGGACAACCATACTTTTAGGGGGTCCCCCAAGAAAAAGACAAACCCACAGTGTGAGGCTTACGCTTTTAACTTAGCCACAGCTTCCGGGACGGTTCGGATCGTTTTGTTTGCAAAATTGTGCAGACGTTTAAAAGGAGAAACACCTTCATCCGTCTGTGCGCAAACTTGCGCAACTCACGCCGTTCGTCACAAGGCCAGACAAGGGCACTGCTTCTCCGTCGCGCCTCCCTTCACGTTGCTTGGGCCTCGGCACGGGCCAAGCATCTGGAGTGGTTCCAACTAGAAACATGTACCCAAGCAGCTTTGCCAAGTCCTTAACCACATTCCGCCCTCTTGAAGCAAGTGCAAGCTCGGATTGGTTGCCACGAGGTTTCACCGCAAATGAAGCACGCGCTAGGTGCCTGACGTTCAAGCCACTTAATGAAAATGTGGTCCTCATCGGTCATCTGCTGCACCTCACCACCTCGGCCCGTGGGTTCTTTTTGTCTGGGGGACCCGTTGAGTGGATTGTAACAATTGGTTCCTTGCTTGAAGCGGCAGGGTACTCAGGAAGTGGGTAACAACCATCGGCTAGAACCCGCTTAGGAAACTTACAACCATGGCACGTGGGTTTGCACCATGGTTGGTGCCCTTACTAAGTACCCTGCGCCTTTTAGTCCGTTGCTACACACCTGAGTGTCCTTTCGTGCATGCTCGAACCAATCGTTAGAACCTGGTTAAGGCCTCCGAACCAGTTGGCTTTGAGAAGAAAGTGCTATTTCAGCCACACGGCAAACTCAGTAGCCAAAGGGGGCGAAAAGTCACGGGATGTCATATTCAAGACTGTATATCGAGGTCATGCAGGCGCACACGCTGGAGTCCGTAAGCTAGCACTGCTGGCCAAGGTGTTTGCGGGAGGGCATGGAGGTTAGGCTGCGTTGCTTGGATGGTGTGAGTCACGTCATTCAGGTAAGCCTGCCATGATTTGTGCAAACATGCACACCTAGCTGCATCTGCTCACCTGCACACGAAATAACTCGGGATCTGCAAAGGTAGTTTCATCACGGTACCGCTGGGCACTTTCATGCTGGCGTACTTTCCCTTTGGCGGACGGGCCACGGAACCAGCGCCCATTCCGCGGCCACTCGGCCCAGACAGCATCGCCAGGCGTGAAGCGGGTGGAGGCATCGCCCAGTGGTTGCACGGTTGCCTTCCTTAGGGCCCACAAGGGGAAGGCTACGTCAGGCAAGTGGTGAGTCATTCTGTTTATAACCCACTTAGGAGACTTATAACCATGGCTTCTGTGGGTAGTTCTGACCGTGGTTATTACCGGTTACTACCCACGTACTGAGCGCCCCCCTTTAAGTAGGACCCAGTGGCCCAGTGGCCCAGTGACGCTGGTTCTGTTGGGGCCTGATGAATGCTAAGCTGAGTCCCCCAACATGCTTGGGAATGAGCCTGGGGATTCCCAAGTTTGAACAGCCAAGGATCCCGCCAGCCTCCAAAAGGGGCAAAGGGGTTCCACTGAACAACTGCGGCTTGGTAAGACCCTTCAAAAGGAGCCTGCTTTTGGCACACACGTATGCTAGTAATATGTTTGCTCATGGCGGAAAACAACAAACACAGTTTGGATGATGTTGGATAGGCGGAACGTAGCTGTCTTCAAATCAGGTCGCCAGTTGGCTTGCTTCTATTGAATGATTCATAGCATCAAGGTGGTCCACTGAAATCACCCGAGAAGTTCCAATATTTCTCTCAAACAGGTTCATTGAACGCGGATGCTTTCGTGCAAGATCCATCAAAACGCGGCTCAGCTCCACGAGAAAACCTATGCTTCCTGGTACCTCAACCTTCCGCTGTTCTGACTCTTGGCCCGTGTGCTCAAATGGAAGCCCAGCCACGGCGAAACGGCCTGCCTTTCTCGGCCCCTTGGGCAGCCGATGGCATTCGGTTTGCGGATCCGAGCATCCACCACTCCACCACCTTCGCCATAGACTCCTCCACGACCTGTCGAACCCAGCTGGTTCTGCGCAAAGGACCTGGAAATAAAAGGCTCGCTTAGTGGAACTTCAAGCCAACCAAAAAAGAAGAAGACAAAAAGGGAAGCGCAGTACTAAAAACCTGCATCATGGCAAGCTCGGTTCGCCACCGAATCGGTGAGCTCGCCATGAAATAGGCCGAGCAATGTCGCTGAATTGATGATTGGCACCACGATGTGCTTGTCATGCAAATTCACTACCTATTCCTCTCAAGTCAAAAACTAATCTACGCCGGGCCCTCGACTGCCAAGCACTGGTCAGCTAAGTTTAGGAGCTCACTCCCAAGAATCAACCGCTGGACTGGATTCGCCTCAGAACTGTGACAAAGAAACACATTGCCATGTGCCAATATAGACACACATCAAGCCAAAACCAATCCATACACCAGACCCTGCTGGGGTCTGCTGGCCAAAAGCATGGCAAAGGCACGCCCAACATGGACAAACGCCACACGCCCTTGTTTCGCTTGAGGCATTCGGCCGGCTCAGGCAACCGCTACCGGCCCTGCCGGCTCCGACGCCTGGACGTTGCGCTGGCTCATGCGCACCGGGACCTCGCTGGAGTCCACCCTGACGGCAGTTGCCAGGTCGGCCGGGCTTCTTCGGAGACGAGGTGCCCGCTTTTTGGGGCCGGACGTATTTTTGTTGAGGGTACCCTTGCTGGATGGCTTTCAAGGGAAACCACAAGGGACACCATTCATTTTTGGGGCTCCCCCGCTTTGCTTTTCTGGTTGAGACAAACCCATATTCCCCCCCCCCCCCCCGAAGGTCACAAGAATGACCTCAAAAGTCACCTTGGCTTTCAGAGGCGATGCTTAAAACCCAAAGGACAGCTCTGGCACCAACCCCCGTGCAGACTAGCAGCATCGCTGCTGAGAGCAGCAGCAGGACCTCGCTGCTAAGTGGGGCGGCTTTGTCAAGTGGAGATTTGAAAAAGGCCTCCCCCTTTTTGGGGGTAGTTGATTCTTTAAGGGAAACACACAAGAAAAGGAACAAGGAAACCACCCTCAAACCATTCATTCACTCCGGTTCAAGCGCGCGCACAGCAACAAGGCGGTGCGGCACGCAGCGGTCTCTTGTCCTCAAAAAGGTCTGGACAGGTCATTGGTAGACCTGATTCGCCTCGTGGCAGTGAACGCCGAAATCAAATGGTGCACCTGTACAAGATGGTGTTCCGCCAGGCGAAGATGGAGGCCTCTGACAGGCATATGAATTCCAATGGGTGCGAGATGCACCAGAGTCACACTAGGCACGGGAGCGTTCCAGACCCGCATCGCCGCGCGGAATCCACGTTGCAGATAGCGCACACAGGATGCGAGTGTCATACCATGGTGCCGGGAAGATCCATTGTTCCACCTCTCCTGCAAGCCAGGTGCAGGTACCGGTAAAGGCGCGAAGTTGGCCTGTTTCACCAAAAAGGCCAGCTCAATCCAACTCACGGCTGCAAGGCCCGCACCAACTGTATCGATCGAATGCAACCACTGCATCAATGTCAGAAAGAAGGGCGGGTCAAAGGGTGCCATAATCGGACTTTCCCGCAAAAGGCTGCTCCAGGCAATCGGCAGATCGTCCAACCAGTAGGAATCATGGAGCCAGGGAATCACACATTGCGGGGTCGATTCAGTCTCAAGCTCGGGGTCCAATTCCAGTGGGGTGGCCAACAACTGAGCACGTGCCGATGCAACATCCACATGCAGAGAAACCAGTGCCTTGATGTCCCGACAAACCTGTAGGTCATGCTGTTGGTACTGCGAGTGGCTCTGTAAAAACTGCATATTGCGTTGCCAGGCTGCCTGCTTAGCCAGAAGGTCGACACGGTTGTTGTGAGCGACGATCCAGTCCGAGACCGGATTAAGGCTGACCGTCGAATCCCCATGCGCCGCAACATGCTGTATCTGAATCGTCGCCTCGTGAACCGACAGGGCGTTCTCCAATGTCCGCCCAAAGGTCACAGTTAGCTCCAGGTTCGTGATCCAAACCATGGAGCAAAGCATTGACTCCCGAGGCCACATAGGCAGAGTCCGTCCAAATAGAGATCGGTGAGGCGATAGCATGCACGTTTGACCAGCGCAATACCTGAAGCACTGCCGTGAGTTCCGCTCGACTGATGGTCTGAGGGTGGCCAATCAGTGGGCCCGCCAAATCAAAGTCGGTGAAGGCCAATGAAGCCGCCCATCCTGCTAACGCCAGCATCGGGTGATGGGGTTGGTAACAGGAGCCATCAGTAAAGAAGTCGAGGTGGGAAGGAAGAGCAGAGGTGTGTGCGTGCAAGGCGGTCTGAGGCTGAAGCCAGAGCTGATGGAGCAGCTGCTGGTGAAAGGGATTGGCTGGACAGAGCAGATGCTCTGTCATGCACGAGGGAAGGGCATGCCAACGCCGCCGTATGTCGGCATGCCGGTGCAGAACCGGTTGAAGCCTTGGACAATGTAGGCACCAATGCTCAATGGTGTCGGGGCCCGAACAGAAAGAGCAGCTCCCATCTTTGGTAAGGTCGAATTTGGCCTGAGATCGACCCGTCATGAACGAGCCTTCCACAAGGGCCTGCATGCTGGCCAGAGCGAGGGGTGGAAGACTTTGCAGCGCGAGTTGAGTTGGGCGCCAGTCGAGACCCAGAAGACCATCGATGTCCTTGCGCCGAGCAAGTGTCCGGGACAGCCTGAGGTGCCACCCATGCACCGCCTTCGTCCAGAGTTGGTCTTCCGCAAGACCAAGGAAGTCGAATTGATGTCCCGTGTGGTCAGAGACGAAGGGAGGGTCATGCAGATGCCAGCTAAGGAGCTCCAGCTGGTTCAGAAGAACGCTGAATGGGCCTGGGTGCAGATGGCCAGAGAAGTGCGCCATGAAGTCCTGCCACAGCAAGAGCAGGTAGGGCTGCTTGGATGTCAAGCGCCGGAAGTCACGGAAGGTGGTCCAGAGGCAGTACAGGCCCGGGCCCAGTAGTGGGTTGGAGCTGAGCAGGGTTAGGCGGACCGCAGGTTGAGCACCTGCCAGACCGTGGCCAAGTGCTTTGCACACCTTGGTACGGAGCTTGGAGATGACTTGGTCAGGGCACACATTGATGCCTGTGGCGTGGAAGATTTTCGGCCAAAGGGCCTGAATGATGACCTGCTCCTTGAGCACCTGAGGAACTGGAAGTCTCCGGATTCGTAGCCACACGTCATCCAAAGACTTTAGGAGGCCCAGCAGGGAAGCCGTGTGGCGTTTAGCCTGCATGGTGAGCTGCCCGCCCAGGTCGCGCGCATGCAGCCTGACTGTGTGCCCCAGCTTAGTGAGGCTGGCACGAAGAGGGGCCAGCGTGGCCCAGCAGAAGGTTTTGGATTGATCCAGGTCCAGCTGCCAGAGGTCCATGAAGACGGGCTGGGTGACGATGCCATGGATCAGGTCTCCAATCGAGTGTCCCAGAAGGGCGAAGTTGTCCACAAAGGATGTGGCCAGGATCTTGGGCGAGAAGTGGTGCATGTAGTGATGATAGGCCAGATCCACGACGATCATAGCCACGCAGCTGAGAGCACAGCCCTGGGGATATCCCGTCGTTGAATGCAGCGGCTCTCCAATCTGGCCATGCCAGGTCCAGCGGCGACTCATTTGGTCGAGCCATCGATGCCAAGCGTCAACGAGGAGCGAAGGCATTCCCAGGTGGCATAGAAGCCACGCTATTGGTTGGCGAGGCAAATGGTCAAACGCCTTGCAAATGTCAGTGATGTGCCCCAGTAGCGGGGTTTCGTGCTGGAGACTGTGTTCAATCAGGGCCTGGGTAGTGAGCCAAACCTCACCAGGCTCCCGGTTGGGAAGGAAGCCCATGGCCATGAACGGGACCATGAGCGCAAGGCGACGGGTGGCCTGCTTGGCGCGTAGGGAGCTCCAGTTGCGCTGGATCAGTGATGTGATGACCACCGGCCGGAAGTCTTGAACCATGGTGGCAGTAGTTGTCTTGGGTATGCCAACAGCGTGGCCCTCCAAGAGCTGTTGAGGCCAAGGTTGACCTTGCTCAACGTCAGTGATGAGCTAAAGCAAGGTGGCTTGTTGTGTGGGAGGCATGTTGCGCAGGTCCTGGAAGTCGTAGCCGTCAGGACCTCTAGCCGATCGGCTGGTGAAGCGCTTGAGACCGTATTGCCATTGGGTAAGGTCCAGGGGTTCATAGATCCATGGACTTCGTGGCATGTAGACCTCCGCAAAGGAGATGATGCGTCGTAGTTGAGCCTCGGGTAGTTGCTGGATCCTAGACCAGCGTTGTGACCAGTAGGATGAGAGCTCCTCAAAGATCTCGGAGGGTGTCGTGAGCTCAATGTCAACCTGAATGTCCTGGCCCGGGGTGAGCACGTGGTCCGCGTCGACCCGCAAGTGGAAAGGGCCCTCAATGACAGCAGGTACAGGCTGGTCGTTGAAGGTGAAAGAGGAGTGGCGGTGGACCGGGATGTCATGTTCCGTGTGGACCTCTTGGCCATCCTCACTGACTGCCAGGATTGTGGTGTTCACCGACTTTCTCAGTGAAAGTGGAGCGCCCGGGACCGGGTCTTTGATGCGAGAAAACAGCAACCGGCGCCGCTGTTGCAGGAGCAAGCTCAATGCATGGGACCGTTGCTGGTAGCACCAAGTTTCAAACCGGCGAAAGTTGAACTCAAAGTCAGCTTGGATAGGCAGCAGGCTTTGGAGATCAGGGGTCTCCGTGGGAAGAACCGTGGGAGAGCCCTGAAGCTGCTGAGGCCGAGAGAGCCACCATTGGGGGAAGCCAGGATTGAAGCCTTTGGCGTTCATGATGGAGGCCCATGTGTTGGAACGATGGAGGGTTGCCTCCAAATGGGTTTTGCCTCCCCGTGTGGCGTGGACCAAGTGCTGGATACGCTTGAGCTGTTGGTACCAGCGAATGACGTTGCGATTGACCAGGTCTGAACGCAGTTGGGGGTCACCAGGACGGCCTGGTCTGGGAAGTGGTGCCGTATTGAGACGCAGCTCCGGTTGAAGACGCTGCGCTCTGCCCCGACAAGCGTTGGGGAGCATGTGAGGAGCCTCAGTGATGTGGGAGCTGAGACTCTCTTCAAAATGCTTGCCGATCTCGCTGTAGCGAGATGTGGTGGTGGTTGAGGTGGTCGGGGTATCCATAGCACAGGATGCGTGCCAGGCCTCCTTGTTGACCGAGTCCCAGGGAATGAAGTTGGGAAGACAGACCTGATGGGCAAGATCCGGTACCTCGATGGTGGCGTACAAGGGAGCATGACCGGAGCCTTCCCAGGCACTGTTGACACTGGTGATCATGTGGGCCAGTTCCGGGCTGACGAAGATTTTGTCAATGAAGGTGGAGCCATTGAAAGTAGGCCTTGGAGCGCGTCCCCAAAGATTGAAGGCAAGTTCCTGGATCTCCACCCAACCTGCCTGGCGCCAAAGGTCCAGATCCGCAAGTTGTTCGTCACTGTGATTGTAAGCCCCAGCCACAAATCGAGGGCCAGAGCGGCCGTAGACAAGTTGTTGGGTGAGGTGGGAAAGCAGGTCGTTGGTCCACTGTTTGGCCTTCGGCCAAGTTGGTGATTGAGGCCAGGCGTACAGATTGGCACCAAGGATGCAGGTGTTGTCCACCCAGAAAGAAGAAAGCTGAACACGTCCAAGTGTGAACTCCTGTTGAGGCCAAGGAAGGTTGAGAGCCCTGGCGGGAGTGCTAGAGCACTGGAGAACTCCAGACCAAGTGCCCGCCGTCTGGGAACCAGCACGAAGCGGGACGGGAGCCCCCGGGAGAAGGCGAAGCTGACGATTGGATGCATGTGCTTTGCTGCGCATCCGCCGAGAGAAGTCCTGGATGCCAAGCGTGGATAAATGGGTTTCAGAGCAGTTCCAAATCCCCGGGGGGAGAGATAGGAGGAGGTCCTCCTTACTGAGTGCTCCGTTGCAGTTCCAGGTGC